GCACTGTATTATACAACAGCGCCTTATCAAGCCTCATCAGTGAAGATGGAATTCATGTCTGTAAAATGCTGCAGGCAATCACAGTTTCATATTTTATCATGTTGATAAGGATATCGCACATTCTCTGAAGCATTTCAAAACACTTAAATGAAAAAGGAGAAATGCAACTAAAAGGCTTTTTATATGGTTTGTTGTGGGTTATTATGAGTTATTTATAAGCCCAAAAAGAAAGATTTGACATTTCAAATGTAAAAGATTTGAGTATTTAATGGTCCTTTTTTCCCTTTACAATTGAACATCCTCAATCACTTTTTAAATCATTAATATTTACTCTCATAGCAAGCCAAGTCCCTAAAAAGGGAGAATTTTGCCCATTTTCTTCCTGAGTCTACTACCGTGAGTTGGGCAGTTAATTTCCTTCCTAAGTGTAGAACCCCAGACTCCATCCACCACACCCCGCAGCACCGACACGATGACCTGCCTCCCTGCCTCCTTCCCCTTTTCCAGAGCTGTGTGTTTTGCCATTTTCCATCCATGTCAGTGGAGGGAAAGGTAAAGTTGTAGTGAAGTAGTTACAGAAGTTAAAATCATTTCCTCCATAATTAAAGTTGTCAAATATGTTTTGCATCCCACATTGACAATACAGCAAGATGCTTTTAATAACAGAATTATTTGTTTAGCTTGGTTTGTTGGTCTGCCTGGGAGTCTCCAAACTTACCACCTTCACCTGAGTTCTGCTTCGGAATTTTTCCTGCTGCCTGATTCTAAGATAAATGACTTGTTTTCTACCGTCTCCCTGGAACACAGCACTGATGGTAGGAAATGGCATCTTAATGGGCTGATGCTTAAGTCCCTGCTGATGACAGGACACCAGCCACTTCTGGGCATCTATGACGACTTCTAAGGGTATCCAGCTGGCATTAAGCATTTAGGTTCTTAAAATAAACGTGCAGCAAAGATGCTGCCTTCCCTACCTGCCAATAAGATGAGAAGCCAGGTCAAATGGCTATTAATTTCTTTATTAGTCACTGTTTACCTGACACTGTGCTCCTACAGCTGGCTCCCCAGAGTACTCACATTTAAATTATGTGGACTGTACAGTGAATTTCCTCCAAGGCCATCACTGTAGCCTCCCGTCTGATTGATAACATGACGGAGGGTATCCACCTAGGTGAGAGAAAACAAAATTCATCATCCCAAATCTATTAAAACGTCATCACTTACAAAAGGAAATAATTTGAATTATGTGTGCCACAAGGGTTTAACATCTTCAATGAAAGACAGATTTATCAATCAAATGTGACTGGCAGAATTTCAACCATTCTTTGCATATTTAAACTCACAAATCTTTGTTTTTCATGCCAGCCAAACAATAACATCTTCATGGCAATGCAACTTTCCATCTACAGCAACCAAATGGATGTGGCTGTGGGTGAAAACCTACTTAGAATTGTGTATATGGAATTATCTCAACTCTCTCTCTCTCTCACTTTCTCTGTGTCTCATAC